GTGGCGCCCCTGCTGATCGAGCGCCCGGCTTTTGTCCCTGCGTGTGGCGCGCGTTCCTGAGAGTTTGGGGTCCGGCGCCGTGTCTGCGTGGCTGCTCTTCCGCGGATTGGTGGCGGGAAGCTGAGGTTGGGGCGAGATATCTGTGGATTGTGTGTGTGTGTGTGTGTGTGTACTCGCCTCCGTTCCTTTGTATGAGTCCATCCTGTTGTGTGTGTACTTCATCCACATGTTGCGTGTTGTGTCTGTGTGTTATGCTGTGTTTGTGTGTGTGTGGAATGTGTATGTCCAGGTATTGTGGGGTTTGTTTGTGTTTTGTTTTGTTTTGTTTTTTCTGTGCTGGGGATCGAACTCTGGTCCTTGAGCTTTAGAGGCAGGCGGCGGAACCAGTGAGCTAAATCCCTGGCATATGTCCAGGTATTGTGTTATGTCCAGATGTTGCGTTGTGTCCTGATGTTGTATTCTGGGTCCAGGTCCTGCCCTGTGGTCCCTAGGCTTGTGCATCTGGGCTTGGGTATGTCTGCTTGAGTGTTACATGTTCCAGCAATGTTTTCAGGTTGTGTTTGTGCATCTGCGCATCATATGTGCCCGTGCTGGGTTGTGAGACCAGCAACTTGTGTGTGAGCTGTACGTATCCTGGTCTGATGTTGTCCATCCCTGTGCTGTGCTGTGTATTTGTGCATCCATGGGTCGTATTTTGTGCCTGGGTGTTGTCTTGTGTTGTGTTTTCATTTGTTCTGTGTCTGAGAATTGTGCATTTTTGCTCTGTGTTCAGATGTTGTGTTGTGTTTGTTGTGTCCATTGCCGAGTACCTGGGTGGTATTGTGTGTCCAGGCATCGGCTTGTGTTCGTAGGTTGTGTATCTGGGTGCTGTGGTCCACGGGTTAGGTTGTGTGCATCTGTGTTTGTGTGTGTTGTGTCCAGGTGTGAGCTGGGTGTACATGTACGAAGAGGCAGACCTCTGCGGCCCTGTGACACCTGGCTTGCACACCCGAGGCCCCATGTCTGCACACCTGCGCGTCTGGGCACACCTGAGCGCACCGGCGTGCACCTGTCCCCTCCGCAGGGCGCCTTCAGCCGCTGCTACAAGCTGACAGACATGGCCACCAGCGCCGTGTTCGCCCTCAAGGTGGTGCCGCGCATCGGGGGCGGTGCAGGGCGTCTTCGCTGCAAGGGGAAGGTATGGCCCTCATCACCATCCCACGGGGTTGCTGCGCGTCCTAGAGGAGTCCCTGGCTCCCCTCCCGTGGTGGGAGCGGCGCAGCCGGGGCTGGTTCCCATGGGGTTTCCTGCAGTCCCTGTGTGCGCGGGTGGCGCCCACAGGTGGAGCGTGAGATCGCCCTTCACAGCAGCCTCCGCCACCGCAACATCGTGGCCTTCCACGGACACTTCGCCGACCGCGACCACGTGTACATGGTGCTGGAGTACTGCGGCCGCCAGGTGTGGGCGGAGGGCGGG